CCCCCCGCACACAGCGCCTTCCGCGCTCCCCGCAGGACGGAGGTCTCAGCCGGGCGGGAGCGGGGCTCCGGCTGCTGCAAACTCACCTCGGGTCGCTCTCTCGGCGCGCGGGCAGGTTTTGCGTTTGTGCGCAGCCTGGCCGGGTGCGAGGGGCGCTGGCTTACATGTTTTGTCAGTTCCCTACTCAGAAAGAGGTGGTTACCAAGCAAAGCTAGTCAGTTCCCCCCCACCATCTGTAAGTTCTGCCACATATGCCATTTTTCTCCATTTGGAAATTTATTATACAGGTGGAGCTTGAGGCCTTGAGCTACCTGGTTGAGTCTTCAGGATGTTTGGCAGGTTAGTTAAAGTGGTAATTTAGTGTTGCAAACACTACTAGGCTGGTGCATCGCATATCCCAGCTCAGGTTCAGTGTTTACAACCGGTTCATTACAGAAATACAACAGACCTATGTCTGTCCCGTTTAAGAGGCAAGACTGTCACATAGATTGTAATTTCTCAGTATGCGCTTGCTTTGTGTGTCGTGTCCCCCCCCTTCCCCCCAAGAATGCCAGTGGAGATGCTTTTGCATGCACTGTCCAATGGACGGTCAGAGTCTGGTAGGGATTACCAAGAAAAGATATTCCTGTGTGGGGTAGTCACAGAGCAGCATTTGTCACCAGTAGAGATTCTGCCATGGAGAATGTCTTTGCATGCTCTGTTTTCTTTCATTCCATATCAGAATACAAGCTCTATTTAATAGGAGCTAATAAAACAACTTTTCTTTCCCAATCCTGTTTTTGAATGAAGATAGAGTAACATTTTTTGATGGGGGATAGAGATGACCATTCATATGATGTTATACTCCCTTTCTTATTTACTAAAAGGAGGAACTGAGGAGTTAGAGGTATGCCACAATGTTGTGTCACCAATTCTAAGGAAGAGGGATAGTTGCATGGCCATGTTTCTCCCTCTTCTGGCAGTAGTGCTGTCTTCCAAGTAGTAAAGTCAAATGCAGATAGTAAAATCTCCTTGGTTTAGACACTTTAGTCTGAGGATGGCGGAATTATCTTCCTTTGGGTAGGAGGTGAGAAAGTGCCCAGAGTTAACACCTTTTCTTACCAGTTTTGCAACTGGTGTGAGATGGTAAATGTTGCTTACAAGTTTTCCTTTAATACTACCTACAGATCCTTTTCAGATGAAGGAAAAAAACCTTCAGTTGTTGTTCAGAATGTGGAGCACGTGACATTTTATAAATATTTATTCCTAAAAGTTCACAGAAAGTAGTAGAATAAACCCTCTAGTAGGAAAAATACTTTCTTGTTTGGTATTGCATTTGTTTGGGGGGATTTGCTGAATAAAGTACTTGGCATTTGATTTATGACGACTATGACTTTTTGTTACGTTCTCTCTAGACTTCAGGAATACAAAGGAAAATCCAAGTAATTCTAACTAATAGATGGATAATGACTACGTGTCACAGTGGTCAGTGCCATTTTGCTTTGTTTTTAATTGCCCTTGTCTCTGAATCTTTCTGGAATTTATTGGTTTATTCTCAGATTGCAATCTGTTTGGGACAGGGATTGGGGTTTTTTGTGCTTATTTTTAGAAAACATGCATCCAAGTGGTCTTTAGTTGTTCCAAACCCAGAAACATAATAATAGATTGCAGATTTAATTTTATGTCTTATATTTGTCTAGTACCAAATTATAAATTAAATCCAGCACCTGTTTGGTGTTAAATGAATTAGTTGAGCTCAGTTCGTGTCACAGAAAATAATCCTTGTGATTGAAGTATTTGTGTTTTTGTTGGTCATATTAGTAGTGATGTCAGGTATCAGTGTGTTGGAAATTGGCACGTTTATGCTGTAAGAGAGATTTATAACACTTGACAGATTAACATATGTCAGCAGAGAACAGAGATTGTTGATGTAACTAATTTTTCAAATATTCACAATGAAAAAGTGTGATTTGTAAATTATTTAAGATATATCATAAAATGTGACTGCTAGACTGGTACAGCACTAATGTAATTCTTTGCTAAAGATGTGCAATAATGTGGCAATTTTGTTTAAGCAATATTTCCAGTAGGTGATGTCTACTTTTCTTCTGGTTGAGTACATTTTAGTTGTGACTGAGGGGTCTGAGTATGCATATCATAGGCCTAAATAACTTCTGCTTTTTCATATGTTAAAAATATTCGTGCTGATAATGTATTAATTTTTTTTCTAAGATGCTTCATGCTGAAAGTAGAGTAAGGCTCTTGGAGTGTCAGGATGAAATCACAATTGAACCATGTTCTAAAAAAATGAAGTCAACAGAAGGGGCTTACGAGAAACTCTCTGGTGATGATAACCAAGGTATTCAGGAGGAGGTGGATGCTGAGAGAACATCAAGTGATTTGATGCCAGTGTATGCCTCAGATAACCAAGGGCAACATGAAATGCAAAAGCAAGAGAAAATACCTACTGGTATCCTAGGAATGTGCAGTGACATGCTCTTTGAAGATAATGTACTGCTTAGTCAGCCAGTTGATTCAGAAACTGTGCAGAATATAAGTCCGCCATTTACATCAATAAATTACACTAAAGTTGAAGAAAAACAGGACCATTTTATTACAAATAACGCTGGTGAAGATAATACTGAAAACAGCAGTACATCATTCTTGGTAAATAGAAATGAATCAGATGAAGAGTTTTTTACAAGCAAAGAATTTATTGGACCGATTTACAAGCCTGCCGAAAGTAACAAACAGGACAAATCTGGTTGTTGCAATGAATGTAGAAGCAGTGAGGGCTATCAGGATGAATTGCACGAAAGCAGAGCTAAAAGAAAGGAGACAAAGCAGATGCAGGCTATTTCTTCTGCTGTACCAGAAATAGATGATGAACTGGACCAGTTCTATAAAGAAATTAATCAGCTGGAAAATGAAAATTTAGATACTAATTTTCAGGAAAAAGAAACTGAAACTTCTCAGGAAAAATACTTTACTTATAACTGTAGTCAAACCTTACAGGAGGATTATCAACGTGTATTGTTGGGCACCCCGCAACCATTTTACGAGAATAGACAGTGTTTCTTTGGGGAGCAGAGCAGTCAGAAAACAAGCAATGAGCAGCAGTTTGTCATGGAAACAAGTGACTGGAAAACTGAAAATACCTTTAATGGACAAGTAGATTCTAAATATTGGAACTACTTAGTGCCTGAATTCAGACCTGCTTGGCAGTCAACAGGGTCTTTCATAGTACCTCAGGGACCTCTTACGCCTGGATTCAACCATCAATTGCGTTTTCAGATACTTAATTCCCCACCACAAAAAATAAATGCTCTCCCTTCTCAGGATGGTGAACTTTCTTACAAAAATTATCAAGGTTACCATGGAAATGGTGATATCAACAATCACGGTCCATTGCTTGTTCAAAGTCCCAACTGTGCTGGTGATACTGATATCCATAATACTCAGGTCTTCAGAAATGGAAATAATGACCGGAACGGACTCCAAAAGAATGGTTTCTGTGAAACCAGAGAAGAGTGTTGGAAGGATCCTAAAGCTGATGATTCAGAAGGAATGCACAGCTTTCCTTCCTCATGGTTACCTGAAGAAAGATTCAGTTGTTCACAGAAATTTCTCCTCATCTTAAGAGGCTTACCTGGTTCTGGGAAATCAACACTTTCTCGGTAAGTAAAGACTTAAAGCTAGAGAAGCTTATTCAAATCAAAAGTTTTAAGAAAATAAAAAAAAAAAATCTGTAAGCACTTGGCAAACTTTGTTATTTGTAAATTAGATTATTAAAATGCAGTAACTTTTACTTAATGAGTATAAATGACAGTAAATATTAAAAATATTTGCTTGGGGGTTTTTGTCTCCTTTGGAGTTTTGATGAACGTGAGCTGTTTTGTGTTAAATTTAAAATGTCTTGTATCTCTTAACTTGCACAATCATTTATTCTGAAACTTGCAGGTGTACTAGTATGTGATGGTCTGCCTTTTTTTTTTTGTCTTAAATTCCTTAATTTAAAAAAAAATCTTCATCAAACGTAAAAGCATTAATTTGACTGAACCAGAAGTACTTTTTTATGCCCATGCAAAAAAATCTTTAAAAACAGTTAGAATTTTGCTCTTCTGAAAATACTTAATTTGTTTTCAGTGTGTTGATGAAACTGAGCATAATCTTATTCCCTTTTTTTCACACAGTGTCTGTCAAATTCTCTGTTCATTTGTGAACAGCACACAAGAAAAGTATTTTCCCTTAAACACTTATTGAAGTCTGACAAGGTTAAAAGCAGGTACCACCTCCAACCTGGATTTGCACTTTTTTTGGGTCTAATTTAAAAAGCACATAAATTGACACAGAGCACAAACACTGTATTAAGTGAAAATAGGTTTCTCTTGTATAAAAAAAAAAAATAATTCTTGTATCAGTACTTATTGATTGAGCTTTATCCAGAAACTATACATCACAAATGGGATGTCTTGTGTCGTTATCTTCTGCAGTTTGCTAAGAGCCTATGAAATATATACAGTGATCATGTTCTTCCCTGTTTTTGTATTATAGAGTAACCTTGCTGTTTGTGTGTGTGTTCCTGATATTTAGGAGACCGTGATCTCCATATCATAGAATAATACCTATTAGAAATTTCTAGCTTATATATTTATATAATAACTATAATATTTTCTAGTTACTGATTGGTCTGTTTTGCAAACCTGCATTTCTGGAGCTGCATGTGCCCATGTGGGTATTAATGCAATAATTCCTTTAATATATGGAACCAACATAGAAAATTTAACAATATAACCCTGTGGATAAAATGTTGCCTCATTCAGTGCAGAAATTGGGTAATAAAGTGAAGATACAAAATATTGTTTTCCAAGTTTGGTGTGCTGAACTGTCTCTGAATCTTTCTCCAAATATATTATTCATATTATCTGAAAGATTCTAAATGTCTTCAGGGTTTCTATGATCACATACTCATGCTTTTTTCAGCCCTTGCTAGTGAGATCAATTACTAATTTTATTTAACAGTTTGGAAAGTGGGCACTAGGACATCAAGGTCAATAACAGTACCAAATTTGGGTGCGGAATCTGAACTGTGTGGGACTTGTTTTCAGTGTATTCAATTATACGCAGTTTCATATGTTCAGTGCTTGGTTGCAATTATTAACCCATGAAATCATATCTCAGGGTCTTACGTACGTGGGAGGAAAGAATCCCAGAATTAATGGCTACCTATGGGGAGTGTTATTCTTAACAAAGTTGCCTATGTTTTTTCCGTGTAACGCCATAGAAATCTGCAGAGTAGGATAGCAAATACAGTCTTCTGATGTCATAGTAGTACCCACAGGTATCTTTGTAGGTGCTAAAGATGCCAAGCCTGCAGACAAACCTCTACTACTTGTGCTAGCAAAATGACTGTGAAGGAAAAGCAGAAAATTGACATTATCTGTGTGGATCAGCACTAGAAGGGAACAAGATGCATCTTGGAAGTGGGTTTCCCAAATGTGAAATGACAGCAGAGCAGATTAGTGAGACCCAGGAATCTTGAATTCATATGTGCTTTTTGTGTGAAGTAAGGGTTTGTAAGTACAGACACTATTCCTCCTGCTCCCAGACTTAACCCATGTCTGTCCTGAATCTTCCACGGAAGTCTATGTTTTGTTTTGACTTTTCATCCCAACTGCTTGAAATCACAGGCATGTTTTTTTTGGAGGAGGCTTGTGGAGGTCAACTAGTCCATCGTTCTGCTTGCAGCAGGTCTGTTACCATTGTTGGATCAGATCAGCTGTGTCTTTGTCTAGCCTGATCTTGAAAAACTTGCAAGCACAGAGATTCCACAATCTCTCCAAGCTTGTTTGGTGCAGTATTACCCTACTAGTAAGGGAGTTCTTTCTAATCTCCAAACTGAAGTTCCCAAGCCATAATTTGCATGTGTCACGTGTTCACCTGTGTTATAACATGTGCAGTTACCTGGCACAATCTGGCTCATCATCTTTGCAACTTCTCTTCGGGTAAGGGGATAGGACTATTCTCTGTAATTGGCAGATGGTCTTTTACTGTCTTCATTGTCAGGCTAAAAGCCTAGCTGCTATTAATCTCTCCCTGTAGGTGGTATGCCCTTAGCCATTTTGGTAATCATCTGTTCAGCCCTTTCTTGGTTTTCAGCATGTCTTTTGAACTGGGAAGCCCCAGGGCACAGTATTTCAGAATTGACTGCACAAGAGCCAGGTAGAGTGTGGATGATGCCTTATATTGATATGCTGGCTACATTTTCTCTACTAAAGCCCAGCATGTGCTTTGCTCTTGATGAAAGCACACCATTCATTCATCTCTAGTTTGATGTCCACTGTAATCCTCAGATCCTTTTCAGCAGGGCAGCTCAACCAGTCACTTTCCCTGCTGTACTTAATGCTTAGGTTTCTTTTTCACGAGTTGCAGAACTTTGTTCTTTTCCTTGTTGAGCTTCATGATGTCTTACTCAGCCCAGTGCTCAAGTTTCTCATTGGCCTTCTGGATAGAAGCCCTACTGTTCAGTATGTCAGGCATCACTGCTAATTTGATGTCATCTGCAAGTTCTCTGCCTCATCATCCAGATCAACAGTGAAGATACTGCAAAAAAATTGTCCCACTATCATCCCTTGCTCTATTCTGCTTGTTACTGACCGGGAGATGATGTTGGAAGCCTTGATTATTTCAAAGGGTGAGACATTCATCACTGTCCTCATCCACAAAGACAGTTGTTTCATCATAGAGTGCATTCTGGTCAGTAAAGAAGAATTTGTTGGTTGCAAAACTCACATTGACTCTTCTTGACTACTTTTGTTTCCTTCACATGTTTGAAAATAGATTCCAAGAAGATGTACTCCATTGTCTTTCCAGAACTGAGGTTAGGTGAGGTTGAGCAGCCTTTAGGTCCTTGAGTCCTTTACCTGCCTTAAATATAACATTAATGGTTTCCTGGTCATTGGGGAGCTACCTTCATCTCCTCAATTTATTTCTTGCATTCACCTGACCTAGACAATCCCAGCCTCCTGAGGCTTAGTTGAGTTCCTATTGCTTTATTCATCTGTTTGCAGTTTTGTTTTCCTCTTCCTATCCAACCGTGGCTTTTGGTCTGTGTTTACTAGCTGTACATCTGCTCCTAAATTCTAAGCTGATTTCTCAGTTCCTTCTTCTTCACCCCCATTCTTCCCAGATTCATCTTGTCCCATTTCGGACAGTGGTATTACCTCATTCCCAGCTTCATTGTACCAGTTTCTTGCTTGCACTTCTCTCTCTGCTGCCAGGACCAAGTTGCTTGTTCCAGTGTTTATACCACTACACTTCCCATGTCCTTCCTATTTTAGGCCAATTTTGTTTCTTCTCTTGAAATTCTTAAGATTGTGGTGGGACAAGTGTATTCTTACAATGCAGTGTTGGTACTGAATCAGCTTCCTGCCACTGCCAGAATGCTCTGTTCAGCAATGGGTTTACTGCAGGGAGACTGTGTTTTCTGCTCTGCTTTTTACAAAAATGGGTACTTCACACTACTACTTTCTGTGCATGTCACTCAAAGTTCTACAGCTTGGGCAGTTTTACAAAAAATTTTTGCAGGAAAAGAAAACACATGTATTTTGCCAGAGTTCACTTACTTCCTCAATCCAAAGGTTCTCAGAGAAAAGCTTGGAATAATGAAACATCATAAACATGCTGTATTTCTTCCTTGGTTTTAGAAGTGACTGACCATTTAGTTAGAAATTTTCTAAAACAATTTCACCAGACAGATACCTAGCAGTGATATCTTTAGCCAAGGTAACGGAAGTCTGCTACAATGAGAAGTAGATGATAATATGATCTTACAATGCCAGAAAAATGTTACAAGAAAACAGACTTGGATTTTTAGGATACTTTGCTACTGAACTTGGCAGCAATTGCAATTTTCCATTCCTCCATGAATATCTGAACATGAATTTGAATAAAAAGGAGCTTTGAGAGTTTGAAAGAACGAATATTGGTGTCATTTAAGGGGTAAATTTTTAATTAAAACCATTGTCAGGAATATATGAAGACAGTCGTCTTTATTCTTCCTGAGAGCTCAGTCTTCTGAGTGGAAGAGTTAATATTTATACCTGAATGTAGAAACAATTGTGTGCTGTTGTCTCTAGTTATGTATTTATTTAAACAGTGTTACCAGCAATGCTTTTAAAGTAACATTTACATTGCTTAGTAATACTACAGATTTTAAAATTATATTTAGTTATTATCTATTTTTTCGTCATCTGTGGTATGTTAACTATTTTAAATAGGTGAGTTAAGAGTTTCTGAGATCTTTCTTAGAAAATCACCTATCAAAATAGGCTAACTCACATGTAGGGTGGGGGATCATTTTAGTTTTGAAGAAAAATTAAGTCAGGATTTGCGTGTGTGTGTATGCATGCATGCACTAGAAAAAATGTGTATTGGTTTGCTGAGTAGTTAAAATGAGCATTTTGGATTCAACGTGGTTTTTTTATGTCAAGCTAATCTATTAGATCAGATAGCATGTCTAGAAAAAGTAGGTGAGCTGCTTTAATTGTTTTATCTGCTTTAATTTCACTATCCTACTGCGTTCAAAGCTAGGTGTTCAGTTGCAGGGAAGGTTTAGGGTGGAAAAGATGGATTACAGTAGTTGGGTAATACTGCTACTCATTTTAGGCATGTGCACATATTGATACCGATTGATTTGTAATTTGAGCCTCTTATTAGAAATGTATGTATTTTACTTTTCCTCCATCTCTCAAAAGTGGAATATCATCTCTTTGTGGGTTTAGAATAGTAATTCTAAATAGTAAATGTTTTCTTTGCATAGATGTGCTTTTTGTCATTGCTGTTTCCTAGTTAATGAGCCTGGGATAAATTTTATTTCCAAATACATGTTAAAAGTATTTCAGTTACTCTGTATGATGTTGACAAGTATGTTTGTGTTTTAAATTCTGCAAGCTTATTGTCAGGCTTTTAGTACATTACATTTTATGATTTGATTTCACAATTTAGGAACAGGCTACAATCATTGCTGTAATAATTAAGTTTCAGTTCATAAACCCATTACATTGTGATAGCTTGTGTGTTGTGTGTAGGGTAAGGGTTCTGTTACTCTGGCTTCTTTGTTAGTCCCTTTGCCTTCCCAAATTCTGTAATTTTAGGATTATCCTTGCAAACATAGTTTACTATATTCAATCTGTTATATCAGTTATATATGTTCATAAATAAACGGTGATGTTTTCCGAATTTCAAGGAATAACAACAAAATATTTCAAGAATAAACTTTGGTGGGTCTGCAGGATTTGCAAACCCTTGTCTTTGTGTTTCTGTGTTGCTGCTAATGATGTTGGGAAGATACAACAGAAGATTTTAACTGAGTTATTCTGAGAACACTGAGCAAAAAAAGTTCATATATATTCCTACAGAAACCTGATGATCAGGCTCCTAGGAGCTGTAGGGGTGTGTCTACTCAACTAGTAGAAGAATCCCAGTTATTATTTTCTAACTCTTTTATTAAGGCAGATGGTCCTTACTCTTTTCAGATGTGTGTATATACATTCAGCACACAAAGTGAGTGTGGAAGGTAGATCAATTTTTCTAGCATTATTAGTTGGCAAATGTAGCACACTGTAAATAAGAAAATTGGGCCATCTGTGAAATCATGGCCTAGTACCAAATGAATCTAAACTCCTGTTAAATACTTTATTCAAGAAAGGAATAGGTATTAAAACATGCTGGTGTGTGTGGTGTATGATTTACTGGTTCCATTTTATGTACTTAGAACAAAAACAGGCTTTGAATACTTCTGTGCTCTCCTAAACCAGTGTAATATGCATCCTGTTAAAAGAGATAGGCTCTAACAAAAATAATTATTGAACAAAGTCCAAAGAAAGTGGCTGTACTTTTGGTGTATCATGCTCTGCTTTCTGAAATAGCATTGCTATTTGCCCTGAGGTAACCTTAATACTCTGGAAAAGCGAGAAAGAGCAAGACGACAAAACCAGCTTGTATGCAGCTTTGATCATGTTACTTGACAGGTGCATCATTAGTAGTTTCTTCTGGTCCTCAGTAATCTCAATTTCGTTGTTACAGTTCTCTGTATTTTAAAAGCAAAAATAACCAACAACATAGTTGTGGGACAATAGGTGTGTAGGAACGTAAGTGAATACATAATATAGTGTCCCAGTCATTAAACTATGATCTGTAACAGTTTGTTGTTGGTGACAAGTGGCAAAACATAGCAAATTACTTGTGGAGAAATTAAATTTAAGTCTTTGGGTACATTGCCTATTTCTGAGCTGAAACAGTTGCTGAAATTTCCACAGGATAGTGATATCTGAGTGTTGCAATGGCTATAAATGCTCTGTGGCACTAACCGACTGGTTTCTATTTTCAAATATACTGTAGAAAACACAAATAGTCAAGGAGGTTTTGTAATCACACATATTCTGTAGATCAGACTTTAAACATGATTGTACTGTTGTCTCAGTTTTGTAAATTTTTCCTTGAAACCCCATTTTCCAAGGACTTTCTGAAAATTACATTTGACAAAATGGGAATTACTCAATGGGATGGATTAATGTGGATTCGATTTGGCAGAGATTCTGATGTTATTGAGCAGCAGTTAATTGTTCCCTGTAACTTTGCTACAATCAGTTTCTCTGAATCACAGGTGTTTTTGTTGGTGTGCCTGGGCAATATTTAGGATTCATTTTAGTTAAATCCAAAAGTCAGCTCTATGATGCTTCTAGAAGGTTTGGCTGTGGCATTTCATGACAATACGGTTGCAGATGAAAGTATTAATACGGTAATGATTCATCAGGAAATCTAGATTTATTAATAACTAACAGCAATTTATCATTACAAAGTAATTCAGAAATGTTGAAAGAAAGAAAAGCGATTTATTTACAGATTCTAAAATGACAAGATTCACACTAATTTACCTAATGGTACCTTAATTTATACATATATATATGCACATACACAAAATATACAAACACACACAGAAACAAAAGTATTTGGATCCAGTAGAATGAAGTATGTAACACACCAATAAACAGAGAAAGAATGGGTGAAAGAGAACCTAGCTCAAAGAAAAAAATTCCCTCTTCTCAAGTTTAGAGTAAATACTCACAATGCTTTGGCATTCCTCAGCGGGTGATAATTGAGACTCGAGGGGGTTGACTTCTCTCTGGCCTTCTGTCTGGAGCAGACACCACCTTAAGGGTTTTGGTACCTGAGAGGAGACCCAGCTTAGGGGAGATGGGGGAGATGCTGGTCACATGCTCGTTGTGATCCAGGAGAGCTCAAAGGGTCTCTTTTGTGGTCACAGTTTATAGGGTCCAAGATAATTGACTTTTGTCAGATATCTTCTGACAGATCTATCAGTTGCACAAGAACTTGATGAATGTGCAACTCTGTTACTGTTCCCATTTGACCACATCCCAGGCACAGGTGTGCCAGGCCATTACAAGACGATGGGCTGTTATAACTGTTTTGGAGCTATTGGGAGGGGCAGGAGCCAGGCTCGTTAAGGAGGTGCCTTAACATTATCAGTCCTTATCTCCACAGATTGGTGTATAGCTTGAGGGATGTGACTGGAATCACACCTAGCACCAAGCAGCCCAGCAAGGAGGAGCGGGGAGGGGTGAGAATTGCACCACCACAAATGCAACTACATAATCCTAGAAAGACTCAATGGAATTTTGTAGTATTGCTACATCACCCATTACAGCAATGTAATAAACATATTATCAGTAATATTACAATATAGAATAGAAGTAAAAATGTTAAACAGTAAACATTGCAACTTTGTTCCTCTGAGTTCCCCTTCTTACCCTCACTGGGTTCCCCAGTGTCTTTTATTGTTTGCTAAACTGTACTTATATTCCTCCCATTATCTTTGATGCTAGCCATGCAAGAAGCAGAGTGTAATGCAACTTATTCTGATCTACAAATGAAGTAAACTTCTAGCCAGTAAATTCTCTGTGTTGCTTGGAAATGGCAGGCCTAAAGGACTGCGTAAATGTGAAATTGGAGTTGCAATCTTTTAATCTTCTTTTATCTTTATGGATTTGAATCTGTGTATTTTATCCATTTGTTCACAAATTTGGTTTGGTTTGTCTGTTTGTTGTTCTTCCTTTCCCCTGCCCCCCATATTTTGAGAGAATACTCTGTCAGATTTTGCTGAAATTGGTCTATATGTCTAGAAGTTACCATGGAATGGCATCGTCTTAGAAAACCAAGCTAAAACACTCTTAAGTGGTTTAGGTGATTCGAGAAGTGATTGTTTTTCTTCTGATTTGAAGTAATACATGCAGGAATAATAAAACACATGGCTCTCCTATCACCCTGTTAGCACTAATGTATGAATGATAGATGAAAAGATCCTATTTTAAATTTATTGTCATCTACTAAACTGAAACTACAGTTCTACAAGATGTGGTGACCCATGTAGCAGCATACTGCTGCTCAACCAGGGGAGGTCTCCATTGATCGTATCACCTTTTGGGGCATTTTCTTAAATAGACTCAACTGCTAAAGCTTCAGAAAAATAACCCAGGGGAAAAAAAATGATAATAGGTTTGCTTTCTTGTGGGCATTGAATTCCAGTGACTTAGATCTAGTGAGTGCCAGAGTTGATTAGGAAGCAGAGGCAAGTAAGACTGTCACCAGGACTGGGGGAGAAGAGACAGAACTGGAATAGAAGAATACAGGATCTTGAAGGAATATGGACACTCTTCTGTAATCCTGCCTTTTATTAGTAGGACAATCTTGAAATTTTATTGTGATCTTTTACTTTTTCCTGAAAATAGCAAAATTGCTGTAAACAATTGTAGTTTTCTTTTGCTGTTCCTCTGTTCACCCACATTGTATGTGCAAACAGCATGGGCAAAGGTCAGAAGAGGGCATGTTGAGAGTTTAAGGTACTGAAAAAGGATTTAAACATCCAGTTCATTGCTCAGCTGCATCCAGATTCCTCGTGATCATATGGGTTTCTAGAGATAATTCCAAGTGAGAGTTGATACGGAATGTTAGTAAATACATTTAATTATTATGAAGTACTTAGAACTTAATGTGATATAACCATAAAATAGATGGGTACAAACAACTGTTGGGGGTGGAGGAGAAGAAACAACAAGTACAGAAATAGTAGAGAGCAGGAAAATATATTGCTTTAATTTGGATTACAGTTATTGGTAATACATATAAGTGCACTTTTATAAACCTGTTTGAAGTTTGTAAGAAGTTCAGAAGTAGGGCACAGTTAAATTTATTTTACATTCATTCTTTTTTCTGTGTCTTTTTTCTATCTGAAAAATAAAAGTTAAATATTTTTGCATTTTCCTTTGTTTAACAGTATTCTGCTTGGTGAAAGTCGTGATGGCATTGTATTCAGCACCGATGATTATTTTCGTCAACGAGATGGATATACATATAATGCTACTCAGCTTGGTGATGCCCATGATTGGAACCAGAAGAGAGGTTTGAATGCATAAGAGGAATCCTGTTAAATTATGCTTATATCTAGAAAACAGAAATATAGCATAACATATATACATTAAATTTTGAACTTACAGAAGGTTAAGAGTTAAAAAAAGAAAATCTCTTCTCTTTGTGCTGTGACCTGCTGATTTGTTACATTTAATACTAGTATCTGGATCTGGCAGAATTGACTTTTCTAATGTTGGCAACAGCAGAGTATCCTGTTTTTCCAGTATCTTTACTGATCTGATGTTCATCCAAATTTATAGAAGAGTTTGAGAAAGATTTTAGTTCACTTGTGTAGATTAACAGCTTGAATAACTCGTCTTTCTCAGTAGCTAGCAGTGTCCAAAGGTTGGGTGTAATTGGTAAGGAAATCAATACCTGGGGTAAGAAGGGTAGCAGACGGATTCTTGCTCTTTCTGTCACAATTTTCTAAGAATCTCACTACCTGCTTGGTCTGCTCCAAGGAGCAGACAAACTGAAAAACTCCATTGCCTGTGCATGCTGATTACTCTTTGTGCTGCAGTGCCTGAAGCAGAAGCTTCTTTCCTGTCCAGAGAACTATTTCTTTGCATCAAAAGACACAAAGGGCCAAATTAAAAAAAATATCTTCTTCCCTTTCCTCCGCTTCTCACCCTAATGTAGAATTTATGATACGTGGGGGAATGCTTCTTTATGAACAATGAAGGAATTTTTCAGAGCAGTCATTAGAATATCAGTTATATAAAGCACTTCTGAGGTGGGAGTGCAGCAATAATAAATACTTTGAGTGAAGTTTCCAGTAGGAGCAAAGGAGCGAAGAGGTGGTAAGGTAGTAGTTTATGGATGAGAGGACTCAACACTTCAGAATTATGAGACCGCTAAATAATTCTCACTTGATAATGGCTTCTGGCTGTTTCTCACTAGACCTTAAGGTCTCTCTAGTTCTGTATCACTTAGTTACACAGTATTTTGGATAACCAGAACAGTATGTAATTTAGTTATTCAGTGATTTTGATAGCAAGAACAGCTGTGTTGTATGGAACACTCCCACTGTGAAACATTTGTCAGAATAGCTTTGGGCTGAGGTTATACTCAATTCTTATCTCCTGCTTTGACTAGATAGAGCTTGGTTTCATTTGTATGTGGATCCTTGAAATACATGAAATGAGAACTTCAGGGGAATGATAATGCTGGTAATTGGGATTCTTGTCTGATGAGTAGGTCTCTGTTAAAGTTTAATATAGATTATATCAGATGCAGAAGTTATTTATGTATCTGCTAATATTTGTATAACAACTTATTTAGCTAGAGCTTTTTAATCCTTGTGTCAGAATTAGGGAGAAGGCAAAAATTTACTTTCTTCACAAATGAGAAAATTATTCTGTTAAAATTATCCTCCCCCCCATTTTTGCAGAGGGAGTGAATCTGAAATATAGAAGAAAATAGTTACAAGTGAGACCCAATGGGGAAAAAATTATTTTAGATGAACAAAACTCTGAAATGTTTATAAGACAGTGAATTACATAACGTTGATACTAAAACCACATACACATTTAATGTGAAGATTTTAAGGTCAAGCACACAAATGCTAGGAAATGCTAGAATTCATTTGCCACTGCAGCTTTAATTGTGAAATCAGTGTCACTCTTACAGGCTTTTAGACTTTAATTCCCTTTATATTCCCTTTTGTCGCTTTGCTAAGTGTCTTTTGTTTTAGTTCATCCTGCCATTTCTACTGGAAGTGTTGGCTGCCTTTGATGTCTTTTTAATATTGTTGACTTGACAGGTCAAGTTGGGGTTTATCTGATTTTAATCTCTGGTTTGTTTGGTTTGGTTTTGACAGTGACTAATAGAATTAACATCATAGAATGGTTTTGGGTTGGAAGGGACCTTCAAGATCATCTAGTTCCAACCCCCCTGCCATGGGCAGAGACACCTTCCACTAGACCAGGTTGCTCAAAGCCCCGTCCAACCTGGCCTTGAGCACTGCCAGGGAGGGGGCAGCCACAACTTCTCTGGACAACCTGTTCCAGGACCTCACCACCTGCACAGTGAAGAACTTCCTTATATCTAAATCTACCGTCTTTCAGTTTAAAATCATTACTCATTGTCCTCTCACTACACTCCCTGATAAAGAGTTCCTCCCCATCTTTCCTGTAGGCCCCTTTAAGTACTGGAAGGCTGCTGTAAGGTCTCCCCAGTGCTGTCTCTTCCCCAAGCTGAACAACCCCGACTCTCTCAGCCTGTCCTCACAGGGGAGGTGCTCCAGCCCCCTGATCAACTTTGTGACCCTCCTCTGGACTTGCTTGAGTAGGTCCATTTCTCTCTTATGTTGAGAACCCCAGAGCTGGACACAGCACTCCAGGTGGGGTCTCACAAGTGCAGATTAGAGGAGGAGAATCACCTCCCTCAACTTGCTGACCATACTTCTCTTGATGCAGCCCAGGATACAGTTGGCTTTCTGGGCTGCAAATGCATACTGCTAGCTCATTCAGTTTTTCATCCACCAGTAACCCCAAGTCCTTCTCTGCAGGGCTGCTCTCCATCCACTCATTGCTCAGCCTGTATTTGCCCCAACACATGTGCAGGATGTTGCACTTGGCCTTGTTGGACTTCATGAGGTTTGCACAGGCCCACCTCTCAAGCCTGTCCAAGTCCCTCTGGATGGCACATCCCTTCCCTCCAGCGTGTCAACTGCACCACACAGCTTGGTGTCATCAGCAAACTTGCTGAGGGTGCACTCAATCCCACTGTCTGTGTCACCAACAAAGATGTTAAACAGCACCGGTCCCAACACCAGCCACTATGAAATGCCACTCGTCACTGCTCTCCACTTGGACATCGACCCATTGACTGCAACCCTTTGAGTGTGACCATTCAGCCAATTCCTTATCCACTGAGTGGTCCATCTGTCAAATAATATGTCTCTCCTATTTAGAGACAAGGATATCATGCGGGATAGTGTAAAAAACTTGCAGAAGTCCAGGTAGACGACGTCAGTTGCCTTTCCTTATCCAGCCATGCTGTAACCCTGTCATAGAAGGCCACCAAATTTGTCAGGCATAATTTGCCATTAGTGGAGCTATGTTGGCTGTCACCAGTTACCTCCTTATTTTCTATTTGCCTTAGCATCGTTTCCAGGAGGATCTGCTTCATGATCTTGCCAGACACAGTTTTAAACCAAACTTTATCTAAGGTATTACATCATCACAATACTTATATCCACAGTTAAAACAAAATGGTTAGAATATGTAAGTAGGTTGAATCTATAGTATAATCTTTCTTCATAAGCTTTTGTAAATCAATGATGGTCCCAGTATCTTTTTTACAATATTAGCTGTTCTCTTGATACCTTTATGAATCTTCTGAAATGCATATTTCAGGATTTTTCCTTGTTTCTGTCAGCCTACCAGTTTTCTTTTCTAGATTTGGGTTTCAGAAAGATCATTTGCACCAGATTAATGAAGCCAGGGCAATAAACTTTTTTTTTTGTTTGTTTAAAGCTTTTATCATCGTTTCTTAGTGCTCTGTGGGAACTTATTTTATCTTTACTTTTTAAGTCCCTTCCATCTACAAAGTTATTTCCCAGCCTGTTCATTTAATTGCTTCCCATTGTAGGGATTGATTTCCATCAAGATAAATCCCTAGTTTTCTTCAGTACTTAGAGTGTTTCTTCCTTCAGATCACTGCTTCATTCAATGTACACATTCAGCAGCGTTCACTAAATGGGCAGGTATTCAACAGATGTATATTTTTTTTACTCCTCGCACTCATTGTGGATCTCACTTTTCATTTAGTGCATACTTTTCAACTTTGTTGAATGGATCATTATTAATTCTCTTGGAAACTTTTTTGCATAGGTGATATTTTAGGATTTTGAGCTTCAGATATTTCCGTTCTTTCATGTAGTTCATCATCTTAACTTTCTGTGGACACTAGTGATATATTCTAAATTTTTCATTGGCAAGCTAAGGCACAGCTGCTAAAAACATCTTCCAGTTTTGGATGCCAGATTCAGCAATGTAGATATTTTCTTCAGGGTGCATAGTAGTAATCTTCATATATTCAGAATAAATTTTCACTGTCTTAAGATGAGTTCGTATCACTTCTGTAAAGGATACCTGTAAGTTTTGAAATTGGACAACCAGAAAATGGAGATCATGCAAAGTAGTAGCCACTTAGAAAGAGGTGGGATGATACTCAAGAACATTCACCAAAAGATGATCCTTCTCTCTTCGCAGTCATCCTGACTTACTCGTTATTTATCTCACAAGTGCCCAAAGAATGCTTGGGTCATGCTGATGATCCCCTATTCAACTACAGAAAAGTTCATCACATGCTGAAAGAGGTACAAGTATATGGGAAGAAACAGTGCACAAACTGTAATGCGCTTTTTTTTGTTGTTGTTTTTGCACCCAGTGTCTTTTAAAAGAAGGACTGAATCCTTGCTCTTTTCCTGCAAGAATTCTGAAATGTGAAATTCTTTGTGTGGCTTACATTGCTAGTACTGCTTAAACTAACTGCTGCTTTTTTTTTTTTTTTTTTGTTGGCTTCAATGTGTAGCATCAGAGCAATTGATTTTTTAAAATTTTTTTAAAATGGAATTCATCTTCACAGTGCTTTTGGAGTATAGATAAGGAATTATTGTTCTGTTTTTACTGATTGAGGCACAAAGAAGCTGAGGAATAGATTTTATAAAAGCCTTACTTTCATTTGCAAGATGCTTTAGAGTAGTTGTAGGAGGAGTTGAGGAATCTTCTTCATGAACCCGATACTCAGTCATAAGTTGAAAATCTGCTTTTCCATCTGGCTTAGTTTCAGGCTGCAAAAAGAACCTCATTTACTGATTCATGCACAAAGTAGTTCTCTTCTAAAGATGTGAAAGTTGTGTCCCTTTCTGCAAAGAATGGCAGAGGTATTGCTTTCAAAAAAAAAAAGTGAAAGAAGTTAAAACAATGAAAATTAACATAGCCCATTTATTCTAGAAGTGTGATACTCAAGTACCCTTTCTAGATACTCTGTTCTGCAGGAGAGTTGCTTCTGAACTTCTGGTAAGAATAGCTTAACTGCTGTCTCATTTTGTATAAAATGGAGGTGGATATCAAGTTGATAAGGATGTAGAATTTGAGCTTTTCAATTGCTTGGGTAAGTCTCCTGTGTAGCATTATGTAGAAGCTAAATGTCATAACCATGCTCTTTAGATGTGCTCAAAAAAAATGGTTCTGCAATGTTGGTGTTTTCAGGGACAAATCCTAGTAATGTGAGTTAGGAGTCCTCTGAGAGCTTTCTGGACTAACTGTGTAAGGGATTTAGAAGAATGCCTGATCTCAAGATCAGGGTTAAGTTTAGGCATAAGATTGATGCTTAACTGATTTATCAAGACTAAAGCAATCTTGGGATTATGAAGAGATACCATTTTAGGCATCAAGGTAATGTTAAAATGTTTTCTGTGCTGTGGAGCTGATGAATCTCAGGTAGCCAACAGATCTGCACGTTTTGTCTCCTGAACTTCTCCAACCAATCCCAGTTCTGCACTGTAATCTCTGGGATGCTTCTGCTGGATAAAAAGCAGTATACTCTTGCTGGTGCAAAGTTAAAAGCATGATACTGTTTAAGTGTCCTGCCAAACAAATTGCATCATGGCTGTGCTCTGTCTTTCCATCAGTAAAAATGTTAATTTGGGTCTGCCTTCTTAACAGTTGCTGTTTTGTAGAACTGGGAAGCAGTTTATTATTCCTGAAGCTTCTCCTCTTGTTTGGACTTGATAGAAATGGGCCAGTGAGTTAAAACCATTATTCAAACAGAGAGAACATGGTTGTAATTGAGTTTTTTTAATGGATCTCAGAAATATTTCAAATATGTGATGTCTTTCTGTGAAGATCAACTATTTCTTAGCATTTTGTTGGAGAAGAACTGCAATACCTAACCACAGGTCTCAGTTATGAATGCACAATATCTGGCAGGACTGGTAAAGCTGGAACCAGGATATGGTTTCATGCTGGGATCTCTATACTCAGCAGGCCACAGACTTCGATCAGTTCTGTTGCTTTCACTTCTACACTTCCTATTTACCCTTTTTGCATCAGTCCTTCACCACCTGTGTTTTATGACCTTCACTTTATCTTGCTTACCTTCTTGCTTCTACTTCTTTCCGTTCCTGTCCCTACCTTTCAGTGCTTTTATTCCTTTTCTTAGAACAGTGTTTCAGTCAGGCTAGATTAGTGCAGAAAACATCTGGAACAGTTTATTTACATTTACCATTTTATTTGAGTTACATAGTTAGTTATTAACTTGCACTGTTTTTCATTGCAGCAAAGCAAGCAATGGAGCAGGGAAAATCTCCAGTTATAATAGACAACACTAATACTCAAGCCTGGGAAATGAAGCCATATGTGGAAGTGGTAGGTGTCGGTGTGTGATTATATCATCTGTTACAGCTTTTCAAACTTACCTTCATATGTGATAAGTTGGTGTGTTTTGTCCAGAAACATTTTCCTTACTCAAGTTTCTGAAGAGAGACTGCTTATTGATATGATCATCAGTTGGTATGGCACTAATTAGGCCAGTTTAAAGATTGACTTGATGTAATCTGCTTAACCTGGAATGAAAACTAAGATAGGTTGACAGTAAGAGAAATCCAGCATGCTACCACCACAGAGTTAACTACATTTTTTTATTATACTCGTCTATAAACTTTTAATTATGTTTTATGTAATAACAGTTTACATATCACACATTTTTCTTTGCTTGCTTCAGGCTCTAGAAAAGGGATACAGAGTGGAGTTCCATGAGCCAGATACTTGGTGGAAGTTTGATCCAGAAGAATTAGAAAAGTAAGGTTTATATTACAGAAATCATTATACTTAAATAGATGGACACACAGATAAATATGCACACCTAAATGTATACGTAGTACATTATGTTTTATTCAGTATCTTAGTTTTTTTAAATACTTAACTTCTAGTATAAAATATATTTTATTTATATAAGCATTTTGAGATATATCTTCAAATGGAAATGTTATGGATAAACAAACAGACAAATAAATAGAGGTCCTGGCTTGTTGGCCCAGAAAGTCAATATTGAAATTTTGTTGGACATAAATAGAAAAATGATTGACTCCTATAAGAATCACTGCTATTATAACGAATAATTGTTCTCAGAAATTTGTTGCTACAAAACGCTGGCAGAAAGAAATACGTAGAAGACAAAAAGAAATTGTGCATTTTGCAAAGACAGCATCAATTTAAGTGCTTTGTTTTGTCTAAATTTACAGATGTCAAAGCACAACAGACCATTACTGAACGGTAAAGGTTAAAATGAAAGCTCATATTTTAGATTAGTCTATTGCAAGATTTGGTGAAATTGTCCCCTGTCTCCAGAGGATCTGACTTGGAGTACTGTTGGACATAGGCCATTGGAGTTCTGGGTTGTGAGAGTTACTAGGAAGCTGCCTACTATTTCTGGTTAATGTCTCTCTTGTCTCAGATGTATCTGCATTAGAAATCTGTGAGGTATCAAACCAATTTAGGGTTATTTTATTGTCTGAAATGTAATATTTTCATGGTTGATCACAGAGAGTTCTCTCACTGATTGTCACTTTATATCCCTCCAACTGACATGGCTTATAATTGTTTCAGCTTTGTAAAGTAGCCCCTACAATGCATGAAGTGTGTATAATACTTACATTGCTGACTTTGACTTTGTGTTAATAGATCTTTTAAAGTTTTCACCTTTTGCCCCTAAGTTAGCACTAACTTATTTTTAGAGATGGAGCTCTCTCTTTATAGGATGAATTCTAGTAAGTTTTTCTAGTTTGGGGTCCAGCACAGCCAGGTTAGGAAGCTGTCTTAGTAATCAGACATTTCTAAGATGTTCAGTGTGAGATTTTCATTACATGAGACAGACTCATTTTCCAAGAAAATTAATGTTTTCACATGGTCTTAACAGGTAACAGGATAAACAAACGTGGTGTTGTTACCTTTGTATTTTGTTGTTGAATCATTAATTGTAGGAGTAAAGTTTGTATCTTTCCTGAAACCAAAGGAAAGCCATTGAAGTGTGAAGTGCTGCTACTAGTTCTTAGGAGCTTCCTAGAAATGTTTTAGCAGCTCCGGTTTCTTGAAATATTTGAATAGAGACCCATTGTCTGGGAACTTTATTTTTTGAGAGTTTAGGAAAGGTGTTAATGTGGGGTTTCATTCTGGTTTTCAGTTACTTGGGGAGAGGACTCAGTTTTTAAAGTTTGGGGGTTTTTTTTCATATTCATGTGTTTGGGAAATAGATAATAATATAATTTTGAGCTCAACATTTTTTGCAATACCTGGCCAAATATTATGCTAATAATAAATTTGGGTAATTTATTAGTTGTCTGGAGTCATACGTTCTAATTCTCTCCAAAAAAAGGATCAGTTTTTTTTTCTGATCGTTGAAATAAAAAGTACACTACCTTCTACTTTAATTAGCAGAATAATTTTGTTATATTTTGGATACTTACTCCTTATTTATTTGGTTTTAGTGGTGCTGTCTAGATTGTTAGTAACGCTTATCAAGTGATATGTCTATATTCTAGAAGTTAGGTGCATTTCTAGACACTATTTTTATAGGGTTGTTTCTGCCACCGCTTAGTGTGTTTGAGATATCTGTGAAAAGGCTCTCTAGGTCAACACTGAGTGAATTCTTGGTGTCAGGAATGTGACACATGTTTTAGTGTGGAATAGGTGTCAGTGTCTTTTTCTTCCAATGTACCTGTGAGCTGCAAGTTGTCTTTAGAGACACTCATGAGTGATTTTGCTCTTAGTTTAGTTTTGTGCATGTAACTTTTGAGAAAACATCTTGACTCCACAGATATATGTCTTGCAATAGTGCTCAAGACTTCATGCACAGCATTTAGACCTTTATATAAAGGATTTTGTACTTTGATACTATTTTTAGGTAATCTTGAAAACTGCACGTGAGAGAGTAAGCAAGTGGCAAAATCCCTGGTAGAAGAGAAAGACTTATTTATTAAAATTATGTTCTTTTTTAAGTGTTTAATCAGTGTTGGATGAAAAAACTAGCCTCTGTCATGTTGGTATACTTTCTGAGTAGGTGATCAGTTGGGAACTAGAACTTTTTTTTTTTTTTTTAAAGTACATTTGATTCAAGCTTTTGGGGAATAACAGGTATCCTATGTATAATCTGTATTTTGGGATGGATTTTGTTTTAATTTAAAAAAAGTTACCTGCTGTGTAACTTCATGCAGAAGCGAACTGCAAACATGTTTAATATAATCCTTTATCCTTATGATAATAAGGTATGATCATAAAACTGCAATTTGGTATTGACATAATTAAATTTGTGCTGATTGTTTGAAGCAGTCACGTCCATGCAGGATTACTTTGCTGTATATTGACATATAAGACTCTTCTAATGTAGAAGCATTTAATAGTGACAGAACTTCGCTTTTATCAATGGATTCCATGTTCCTCCAAGCAAAGCCAGCTTCCAAAGCATGACTGTTAGGAGCTTTTGCTGGTACATCTGTACTGGTTAACGATAGATGGATTTATGCTCTTTCAGCATAGCCAAGCCACCAAAGCATTAGTGAAGACATGACTGAAGAGGAGATCCCAGTATTAAATGACACTATACAGCAGAATTGTTTCCTTTTTAAAATTAATTTCAATGCTTGATGCAATTTTACTGGTGGTGATTTTATTATCCTGCCTTGTTCTTTAAGGAAGTACTTGCTCATTTATGAAGTGATTATACACAAGTTGATTGAATTGTGGATGAGTGTGCGTTTTATGCCAGAGCACTTGAGCTGTAATCTTTTTCTAGGAGTACTACGATATGGAAAATATTTAATAACTTTGTGCTTCCACCATTTGACATAAAAGACTTAGACTTCCTCTTCTCATTTTTGTCTTCTGTCAGGAGTGTCAAGCACTTTATAGAATCCCGTATTTCTAGGAGTTTGGCTTTTTTCTCTACCATTAACCTTGTTCATAATTGTGAGTAAAATCAAAACTTTTAAGACTTGTTAACTGGTGAGTTCGACGTGCTGCTGCTCCTGAACTTCTTCAGCACAATGTAGAAACTAGTAGCATTTAAACAATGAGCCGCTTGTGATGAGCACTCTAGCTTCTGATGTTGTCTCAGGGAAATGTGTCTATGAGAGAAATACTCTACTTAAGCCTTTTCTTCCCAGAAAGAAAGCTGATAAAATACACCTTAGCCTTTAGCATAATTCTGAATACTTCCGAGATCACCAGGTCATCTTCCACTCTGAATGTGAAACTAGTGTGCTACCTGCAGTATGCTTTGAACCCTCATCAACTTGATGCATACTTCTTTATTGTAATAATATGCACAAAATCTCTGGAGGAGAGGAAATCAGACTTTTCCAATATTTCTGTATAGAGTATCCTCTTTCCAGTATAGCCTGTTTGTTCCCAGTATTGATTTCTCCTCTGTAGAACTGAGCAAGTTGGTAAGGAGGCCCATGCCTCTTCTGCCCCTGACAGAAAGCACAAGGATGCAGGCATGTATTCCCTATCAGTATGACTTGGAAATAATTCACCTCGGACAAGGTTTCTTGGTGATAAGAATATATTGGGTTATGATAAATGCTTGTCTACACTATCGAAACTTTTTGTTTATGTTTTATATCTGTTATTTTAGATTGAGTTCTGTTTATAGTGCTGGCAATTCTCTGACATTCAGTTTGTGCATGAGCCTTGCGGTTTTCTTTATGGCAGAGACTGAAAGTTTCTGCTAACACGGTTTTTTAAGATCCTATTCCATAGATACTAAGAAGATAGATACATACTAATGTAATGTCTAATGTCTCAGGTTCTTAATAGGCCAAGTTCTCACTGAAAGTAGCTGTTTATTACATGCTGCAAGAATAGGACAACACTTTTGACCTCTCTTTCTTATATGTGTTTTAGTACATTTCTAAATTTGCAGCAAGTATTGGTAAGAGCTAGTAGGTAATGGTATCGTGAGCATGCTTTCTGATTCAAAACTAAAATTGCTCCTTATTTTACATAGATTTATTGATGTGAGAGACAACAATTAATGAGAAAATATTCTGTCCTTAAGTCTTGAAACCACGGAGCTTCATTTTTTTTAATACTAGTTTGAACATTGCTTTTATAAGTAGTAGTCTATAATATTTTTCCCTCTACTCATTAGCTAGTATATCATGTAAACTCTGATGAACAGATAGAAAGCAAAAGTCCTTTTAGGGCTCTCTAGGTACATAGTCCTGGTGAATAACATCACATTTCTGTATGAAGAAGAGTGACTGTATTGTTTTCTGTTAGTTAATATATGCAATGGTGAATCGTTAAAATAAACCTTAACACAAGTTGAATACTGAGAGAATGAGGGTACAATGTCATAAAAGTGAAATTTCAGATATGAAAAACAGAAAGAAAAATTGCGGTCAGTTTTTTCTTTTTCTTAAAGACTGTAAACATATAAACATACCAGCCAATTTATTTACATTTTTATTTTTGTAGGAGGAATAAACATGGGGTCACTCGTGAGAAGATTGCTCAGATGTTGGAACGATATGAGTATCAAATATCCATACCTATTGTCATGAATTCAGTGGTACCTCCCCACAAAAACACTCAAAGACCACCTCTGCAGCGAAGACATAGGTGGGGAGGCAATACAGACTCATGGAATTCTTTCAGTATTTCTAGTAGGCGATAACACAGTTGCAGTCAGTTAATAAAAATCTGTTACTTGCACTCCTAAAAAACATCATCACTTCACATAAAGTAGTGGATCTTCAGTGTTTTAAATAGGCCTATTCAAGACCATTTTCTTCTGGAGGTCATTCCTTTAACAGACTTGCATGTAAATAAAATTGTACATTCAGTGTTTTATAAAACTATATTTATTACAGTTGTAATAACTTGATTTTAGTAAAATATTTAGTATGACATATAGCAGAGTCTTCCTTCGCAAACCTAAGACAATGTTGTCATATATGAAGTAACTGTTGAGCAGTTTTTTTTAAAGAAGAGATCATATTAGATATCTTATAAAAGAGAATTAAAGCCCCAGAAGAAGACGTTATTTATTTAATAATCAGTTTTAATTACTTTCATTTAGTCTTCATATCTTTTAGGAGATGTTTTTAAAAACAGTTATGTCCTGGATTGTCTTTTTGTTCTATTTGGCATGTATTGCCAATTGGCAAAATTTTGGAATGTATTTTCTGGTTTCAGTTGTGGTGTTTGGGGTTTTTTTTTGTCTCAAGCTCATTTGGCAGCTGAAGCAACATTCTGCAAGGACAGTATTCACCAGCTTTAAACTGCGCACCCTGAATTATTTCTTTGTTTGTTCTCAGGGGTAGTATGTCAACTATGATGGTGGCTGCATACCGTCAATTTTTTTTGTGCTGACTAAAAACCCCCAAATTTTATCACTAAACCCCAAAAATGTCACAGCTATGTCTAAGTCAATTTCTTTCATTTACATTAAAAAGTATTAAAGCATTAGGCTATCAAGTCCCAGTCCACAGTTGGGGTGCATCAATTCCATATAAATAGTGGATACAGTTCTGTGAAACCGTGTTGTGTTCCCAGTTTTGGCACAGCCAGTGTAATCTGTTTACCACATAACAAAGAATGAGCCAGCATGGAGATTGACTAATTTACTGCCCTTTGTCTCTTAAAAAATGATAAATTTGTATGCTTTCACTTTGCTTACTTTCCAACAGCTTTCTGTATTAATAAAATGTATTTGTCTTCAGTGTTGTTTTAGTAGTTCAATGCAACCGTTTTTATTATTTTCAAGCTTGTAGGGTTTTATACAGATGAGCATTGTTACTAACCTGCTCGCTGAAATAACCTATCTTTGGGTCTAATGATATTGGATTTCCTTATACACTGAATGAGTAAATCTCAAATAAACAGTTCTGTTAAGAATATGAGTATGTAGCTAAAAGAATTTTCATGGTTTTCTGTTACTAGTTTGACGTAATAGGCATCAGAATTTTTAAAATTTCAAAGCCAGCATAGTTTTGTTTAATTATAGACAGTTTTTGAATACGCCCTCAAAATTACTTCATCTTTAAAGTCTGAATACCATGAAAGTTGAAAATCCAGATTTACAATGAAGTATCTTTCTGTGGTTTTCTAAGCCTATTGCACAAATCTAAATTTGTACAATTTAATGTATACTTGCAATAACATTTTCATAAGAGATTCTATTAGAAAAGTTGAAGTATGCAGTTGCATGTTTTAGTAATAATTTTAATTATTTGAAAAATTTAAAATGTTTCAGTAGTGCATGGTTTGTTAATATATTGAATTATGTGTATATATAAAAACGGTCTCAAACTATGTTGTCTTCCTTCATTTTCTATTATTCATAACAATTACGTTACTGTATTTTATTTTTCTCACTTATCTCTTTCCATGTCTCAAAAGAATCATGGAAATCTTTGTAAATGGTCAGTAATATTTTAATTAGCCGAGAGTTTTATATTTAAACATAAAAGCTTATTTCAAGTGGGAGGAAGATAGAAAGGTTTTAGATCCATTTTATTTTCTCTATATTACTTTAAGCCATAACAAAGTGGTAAAATTTATTAAGGCTTTATCTAATATTCACAATGTGCTAAGGTATGACAAAAAAGAGCTGATGATTGAAAATTGATGTTATGATACCCTTTGGTAAAATCTTCAGTTTTTAAAGGAAATGGATTTTTTTTTTTTAGCAATATTTAATTGATATTTAACTTGTCTTTAACTGCAATTTTTATTTAAATAGATGTGAATTCATACTGTTTTAAAATGGTGCAGCATTTTTGAGTGTTATCTTTTAAATAAATTATTGGTAGATGGTGAGTATTTTTGATATGCAAAGCACGTTGATCAATAATAGGCCTGCAGTTTGCAAAGGATTCATGACAAGAAGGGAACGCTTTGCACTGTATCAAACATTTCTTGTAAACTGTTTAATCTATAAAGCTGTATTCCAGGGTAAGTACAATGACATGCTAGGTAAAAACACAATGGAATTATTTTCTGTGTAACACATTTTTGTTTCATGGTATATTAATATTTCATGAGAATATCACAGTCACGGTCGTACATATATCTCAGACAGAAGTTACTTTTACACTGCAATGTTTATATGTAAAAATAATAAAAATATTATGTGAAATACATGTTGCAGGTATTGAATTTCTCCTGCTCCCTCACAAACAATGAAAATTACTTTGTCAAAAAGTATGTACAAGAAATGTAAGAACTCACTGTTCAGTTAGACTGGAGATCTAAAAATTTTTACTATCTCGCATAGTTTTTATGCAGTACACCTGTTGGTGATAATAATGTACCTAGAATTAAGATTTCCTGTTGGTTTAGACTTTTAGTAAATTGAAATTAATTTTCTAAATTAATTGTATTTTATGAAATAACAGTGTAAGAAATTTTTAAAATGTAACTAATGCACAGAACCTTAATGTTACAAATGCACATTCAAGTATTTGCTGCATACTTCAAACTAGTGGGATGTTTGGTAAGTAAATTTAAACAGAATAGTTAAGATACTCAGTGGTATTTTTAATATCTTACTCTTCTAAGCTCGAAATTTCAATGAGAATTAAGTTCTAGTTTTACTGCTTCATCTAAACTACTGTTTCTTCTTTGATTAGTTTGCTTCCTGAATTATCAAAAGTTCTCATCAGCCTTGTCTTTGACAGGATGATTTAGTGTTCTTATTTTTCTTTTGTTTGGAAAAGAAAAAAAAAAAGAAACAAAATAAAAAACCCAAACCAACATAAAAAAGCCACCCCAAAACCCACCCTAGAAGATCTGTGTGCTGGTTTTGGCTGAGATAGGGTTAACGTTCTTTGAACATACTTCTAATAGCTAGTATGAGGCTGTTTTTTGGATTTGTGCTGGAAACTGTTGATAATTCAGGGATGTTTTCCTTACTGCTGAGCAGTGCTTACACAGCGTCAAGGCCTTTTCTCACCCCACCAGTGAGCGGGCTGAGGTGCACAGGAAGCTGGGAGGGGACACAGCCGGGACAGCTGACCCCAACTGACCAAAGGGATATCCCAGATCATATGAGGTCACGCTCAGCATATAAAGGTGGGGGAAGAAGAAGGAGGTGGGAGGACATTTGGAGTGCTGGTGTTTGTCTTCCCAAGTAGTGGTTATGCGTGACGGAGCCCTGCTTTCCTGAGGATGGGTGAACACCCTGACTGCCAATGGGAAGTGGTGAATGAATTGCTTGTTCTGCTTTGCTTGCATGCACAGCTTTTGCTCTACCTATTAAACTGTCTTTACCTCAACCCAGGAGTTTTCTGACTTCTACCCTTCTGATTCTCTCTCCCATCTCACCAGAGGGGAGTGAGTGAGTAGCTGTGTGCAGCTTAATTGCTGGCTGGGGTTAAACCATGAGAGCCTAATGTAATGCTGTTTTATTTTTTAACATACAATGTTAAATGATCTGTGAGGAATTCTGTCTTCTGTTCTTGTAGCCATATCATCTTTAGGCTCATTTTAATCTAGTTTGCTATGTTACATAATTTTAAGCTTTTTGTCTTTAAGAAGAAAGCCAAGATTTTGTCTTTTGTCATTATTTCTTGAAATGTTCTGCAGAGATGGTAGTTTTTCTTTGCTTCTCTGCTAACAGATAACTGAAAACCGGGTTTTGTCTAGCTGAGATAGGACCCATAACATTTATATTTCATTGTTTTGTGTCTGTCTTTCCTGATGTAATTTAGACTGTGCTGGTATTTTCTTCTTTGAGATGAGCAATAGGACTCATTTTCAGTGAATTGGGAAAAAAAAAATTATTTTTGTATTTTCATATTCATGTGTGATACCTGTAGTTTTAGTCACTGCATCCTCTTAGCAGTAGAAATGTTTTCCCTCTGTGCTGGTACCTTATGGAGATGAGGTGACTAGGTGTATGTTGAAAATTGGGGGTTTTCTATACAAAAGAACAGAGACATATATTGCAATTCCCAGCGATAAGAAGACATTGTTGAAATGAAGTTCATGAAATTGAAATTAAGTACTCAATTAAAAACAGTGATCAGATGTTTCATATAGGTCAGATGTGGAAATATTTCACTTCAGTGTTTCTACTTGTCAGCCATAGGTTTTGGTAACCTATAGTACAGGTTATAATAGTCTATAAGAAGTTACTGAACAGTTTATCCCACATCTTGCTCTTAACCAGGAAGAGTTTCTGAAGGCCCATGAACCTGACTTAAGAATGGATTGACTATATTACTTTTCTGCTATTTAGCATTTTTCCTGTATTGCTTGTAAGAAGAATATACCGCTTTACAGAGATCTTGGCAACAAAAGTACAGACATCAGATCTTTTTCCTGAAGCAAGACAGGTATACCTATTTAAGCTTCATATATGTCTCTTTGCAGCTGTTTGGTACATGTGCTAAATATTCCATGAAGTATATCTGAGAAAATTTCAAAACTATTTTCACTTTATGAAAACTGCAGTTAGAACACTGGTCTTATGGAGTATAAATGGAATTCTCTGTGTGTGTACATAGAAAGCACAGTTAGAGCAATGTGTTTCATCCTGTTTCTGTTTTATTCCAGCAGTTTAGAGTGAGTTCTTGTTTCAGATAATGAATACCTAGATTATGTCCATAATGCTG